CGGGCCACAGTTAAAGGACATGGAGGCCTTCCTGGGAAGGGTGAAAGAGAACACGGATGCGGAGGAGACGACAGAAGGAAGAATTTCAGAATTAAAGCTTAGCCTTTGAATTAAAAGAGACCTCTGAAAATGAAGAGGAGTTTAAAAGGCCAAATGCTACATAGAAATAATTGGAATTTCTAGACTTCTAGAATGAAGAAAGACAGGAGGGCATTCCAGACGCTCAGACCAGTCATAAAGCAAGGGTCCGCGCTGCCCAGTGCGGGAGGAGGAGCACGCCGACAAAACAGAAGTAACTCTGGGCTTGGATTACCACACCCGTTCACATCCTCAAAGGCGTGAGGACTAGGAATCAGAAAACGCAGCTTCCACACTCTTTTCCTTAAAGAATTCCTGGAGAATCTCCAAGGGGAGAACTGGAACCAAGAAAACGTACGCTGGCTGCAGGCTCTCCCAGGCTGCTTGTCCTCGGTGGAAAGTGGAGCCGGGGAGCCGGAAACTCTCCCGATATGCTGGAGAAGGCATCTGTGTCTTTTCTCAACTCATTTTAAAAAGAGCAAACTGGAAACATTCTGGGAAAACCAAGAAACTTTAAGAACTATACTGGCCTAATTATGTAGCAACAACATGAGCTACACTGTGAGCCTACAGGGAGAGCAATGTGACCCCGACCTCCGAAATCGGTCTGCGTGAGCGGGTTCGAGTAACACAGGCTTGCGCGATTTCTCGCAAAGGCTCTCCGCACGTAGAGAAGAGCGTCAGCACCATCTCACGCCACGGCGGTTCAAGCTTGACATGAGCCTGCGCCGCAAGAGCAGAAACCTGAGCACACACACAGGGCTGGCACGGCGTCTGGAGGCGCCACCCGCTTCAGATATCAGGAGGTGAAGGTACGAGTCGCTGAGCTGAAATCCTTTTTCTTGGGAGTCAGAGGGATCTTCAAAAATCACGAATGACTATTAACACTCTTACCCTTTAAATTTTGGAGATGATCATCAAACACCAAACGTGCGGCTCCAATTGTAGCTCCAAAGAGTGAACTGAGAGTAAGAGGTGCTTACCTCCCATCAATTCTTCATCATTTCCATCCCTGACAGGTGTCACCCGTTTAATAACGATAAACATAACAGGACGATCAAGTGCCCAAGAAAATATTTAAAATGTGATGTCCAAAGCCAAAAATAAGTTAAATTTTTTAAAAGCTTAAGCCATTAAATCTTAACTTGGAGTCTGTAATTCCCCAACTCTAACCCAATTTCATCTTGAAGTGGATGAGAAATAACTGAAAAGGGGGGCTGGGGATTTAGCTCAGCGGCAAAGCACCTGTCTGGCAAGCACAAGATCATGAGTTCGATTCCTGGTACCGGAAGAAAAATGAAAAACAAGAAATAAGTGAAAAGGTTTGGCTTTCAAACCCCATGGATTTGGGTTTGAATTCTACATTTAGCACCTACTGGTGAATCTGTCTGGGGTTTAATTTACCAGTCATTTTCCAATCCCTAATTTATCAGCCACAAAACAGGGATAAAGCTGAGCTTGAAGCATTATTATTACAAGTTTTAAAAGATAATATATATTAAAATACATTGATGAGCTAATACAGAGTAAAACCTGAACTGAGATAAAAGATATTAAAATAGTGCTGCACGCCAGGCACATATGAAGCACTCAACACACAATGTTAGTTGTTCTGATCATGCTGGATATAGAGATGGGAATTGAATGATGAAATCAAGTGGAATAGCACTGTGTTCTAGCCTGCTACAACAGAGGCAATCAGTACCTGGATACCCGTGTGCCCCCTGGAGCAGGGCTTCTGACTTTAATACGCACACGAGTCTGGGGGTTCCTGTGAGTCAGTGGGTCTCGGACGGGGGCTCTGTGAGTGCAACGAGCCCTGGGCAGTGTCAGCGCTGCCCTCCGGGGAGCTCCACAGGGTCGAGGCCCCAGAAGGCAGAGGGCCCAGCCGAGGCCTTTACTGAGGGGAATCCTTTGGATCAGACACCTGGCAGGCTGAATTCTTTTGAATACAGGATCACGGTTAATAAAGCTCCGCTGTTCTTCTGTGCTCAGAGGTGAGGTTAGATAACAGCTGCGTGCAGGCAGGGCGAGGAATCTTCCTTAGGGCAGTGTGGGCCAGCAGCTCCCTCCCTGTATGTCCCCAGGGTCTGTCTTTGTGTCTCTTCCCCTCTGGCTCTTGCCGACCACCGGCTCTGCTGAGAGGGGTTGAGGGCGGGTGGACAGTCTCCCTCTCGGCTTGTTCTGGAAGCTCTGCTGCCTCTGACTGAGCACTGAAGCGTTTTCACAAGAACTAGGACATTTGGGGGACGTTTCAAATATTCCGTATTTATGATCGCCCTGGAAGGGCGTGTAGCAGCATCCGAAAAATCGCACAGGCACTGATTGTCTGAACCAGCCGTCAGACCTCCAGGACTCTTCCCCGAAGGTGTCTCTCCGTGGGCGCCGGATACTGGAGCCCAGCCACCTCCACACGCCGGTCCACGCAGCCTGCAAGCAGGTTTCATCACACAGCGAAAGGAACTTCACAGATGCGCCTCGGGAGCTTGAGATGGACCGCCGCCGCCGAAGCAGACAGGCAGGCTCCAGGTAGCCCAGGGGTCTTTACCGTGCAAGCGTGAAGAAAGCCGGCCGGAGCGGTGCGAACAGAAAGGGCTCCGCGGGGCGCTGTTGGTTTTGAAGGTCATGGAAGGTCATGGAGGGGGCCTCGGGGTGCTGGAAAGAAAAGGGAAGGACTTCTCTCCTCAGGCCTCCAGGAAGACCCTCAGCCCTGCAGACTCCCGGTGATGCCATGTTTCGCGTCTCAAATGCCCCCCAAACCTCCTGTGTTCGGAGGGTGACTAGAAGTGGGGGCGCTGTGCTCGTGCTCGAACTCACAGGGGAAAGCGCGGTCAGGAGGCGGGTCTGGGGGCGTGGCCCGCAAGGGTGTGTCTCTCCAGGCCCCGCCCCTTCCTCCGCTTCCAGGCCCCGCCCCTTCCTCCGCTTCCAGGCTCCGCCCCTTCCTCCGCTTCCAGGCCACAGGGTGGTGAAAGTGCCCCCACCAGGCCCCTCCGCCCACCTGCTTCTGCCTGGGAGCCAGCGGACCGCGGTCCAACACGGGAGGGGGACACCTCTCCGCCTTCAGCGCGAGCACTGGGTGTCTTGTCTCGGGGACAGCAAGTGCCGAGACACCCGGCATAGCATTTCCAGTGTCCCATCTCTAGAACTGCGAGATAACATCCATCTCTAGAACTGCTGCGTTGATCTAAGCCGTTAAGTCTGTGGCCATTTATTACAGTAGCAAGCGGAAACTAACACACGTCGCACAGCTGTGAGGCAGCATACACAAGGTTGTCAGTGTGGTTTACTGTGATAGCTAAAGCTTGGACGCAACCCAGGCAACCCCTGCGCCCTATAAAACAGAATATTTTTCAAGTGGGGGGAAAAAAGCAAGACACGTACTATTGTATATAAGGTGCTATTTTCCATGTAGGAAATAAGAGGAAATCAGAAGGTACATACATAATTTTTACTTTGTAAAGAGAAACTGTAAATATGTCAGACATAAATTCATAAAAATAATTACTTATAGAATATGAGAAGGAAAGAAGGAAGTCAGACTTCCCCGCACCTTTTTTATATATAATTTTGACTTCTGGCTCATGTAAATATTTTACATATTCAAGAACTAAATTGAATTTGAGGTACTTAAAATGCTCATACTTAAGTGTAATAATTTTCTATCATCTATAGTCTAAAATCTTCTCCAGAATATGACAGTCTCCTGGTGCTTAACAAATATCCAAGATGAAGAATCTGCTTCCTGACAGAACCGTCAAAGCGGGAGCTTGCTGGTGGGCTGGGACTGACCATTTCTGCGGGTTTGTCTCTTAAATCTCTTTCCACCTGACGGGGTGCAATTTCCAAAGGAAACGCAATTCCATAGAGTTGACCACAGCGCCATCTGGTGGGAAAGTCTAAATCGCAGCGTTTTCTTTGTCAAAGGCTGCTCTACTACTGCAATCCTATCATGTGTCGGGCGTGGGAGGGAAGCGATCAGAAATAGCTGATACTAAGACCTCCTTAATGCTTGAGTGAAATCAAGCTTAACGCACATGCCGATGGATTACATTTAAAAAGCACAGATGGCTCAGAATCCTTACTGAAACTTCCTGCACAGAAAAGCAATTTTGACAAGATTTATTTTAGTGCCAGTCATACACATACCAAATCCAGGTTCATAGTTTCTGTAATGCGTGTCATAAAAATGTAGCCGGTTTCCCGGGGGAGGGCCCGGATGACTTGTAAGAGTGGCTGTGCGTGTCTGCGTTTGAACAAACGAGGAGACTGAAGCCACCAGCTCGTCCGCAGGCGGGCTACGGTCACCGAATAAAACGCACCGAGCTTGTTTTTCGTCCTTCTTTGAGGTCCTTGCAAGTAAGCGACACTGTTTCTCTGTCCCGCTCGTATGAAGATCAGGAGACTGTCTGCTCTACGTTAGACTGAACGAGAGAGCTGGGTGCTTAGACAACTTGGGGTAAAAATAACTTGCATTTTAACACCTCAAAATAATCTCAAAGAGTCTGTTGGATAACTGCTTCAACTGCCCCAGTACCAAAGTTGCTGTCAGACAAGCCACTCCAGAATGATGTTTTGCTGCACACGCCTAGCCCCGGCCTGAAGCAGGCGCTGGCAGAGAAGCGGAGGAGGGTGGAAGCCTCTTGGACCCACTGCCCCCGGCTTGGAGGCTGGAGCCGCAGGGCAGAAAGAAACAGAATGCAGTCCCGGGAAAGGAGGGAGATGACCTGTACGAAGAGAGGCGGGCAGCCAGAGAAGAAAACCATACGCGGGCGGGGAGGAACAAAGACAGGGCACTGGCGAAGCAGGAGGAGGGAAAGCGGCGGCCGTCGGCGAGCCGCTCTCCTGGAGGCAGAAGCGGCGGCTGCGGGGGCTCGGCCGGCGCCGGCCCGGGCGGGGGCGGGCCAGGCTGCCCCAGGGCTCACCGGCTCTCCTGGCATCGGCTATGACCTTGGCTGCAGACTTGCTCATCACGTGCACCACGTAGAGGGGACAGTTCACCGCACTGGCCAGGGTGATGGCCCGCAGCGTGGCCTCGGCCTCCACGGCCTCGGGCCGGCACAGCGCGTGGCCCTCGGGCCCCGTGACGCCCAGTGCCAGCATCTTCTTGGCCCCCTGGGAAGACAGCGGGAGGGGTTAATGCCAGCACAGAGACTGGGAATGCAAGGCGCCCGGCGAATTTTGGATCAGTGGGCGTAGGCAGGTGCGTGTGTGTGTGTGTGAGAGCGTGTGTGTGTGTGTGTGTGTGTGTGTGTGCGCGCACATGTGCACACAATGTATTTGGTATAAACCAATATTCCCAATGCATATGTGAATTTTCTCTGTGCACATTTCATCATCAAACTGTGTTGCCTGAAAAGGTGAAAAAGACAGGAAGCTGTTTCTGACCAAGGGCTTTGAAAAGCAAGATCCATATTCAAAACTGAGTGTTGGCTCGGATCAACAAAATAAAACTAAACAGCAGAAGTCCTTGCCAAAGCGACTCCTGGTGATCTATCACCCAGCTCCTTTTTTACTGAATCATTTTCCCTGGCTCCCAGCCCAACCTGCTAAGTGGTTATTGGATTTGTTATTTCCTCTCTCCAGACTCGTATTTCATCCTTACACAAAAGGCAGAGTCCTGACCAAGCAGCGAAGGAATGCCTTGGCCATGTCGCACCGCCGGAGGTGTGAAGTCGCGTGTGAACCCTGGCCCGTCTGCTTTACAGCAACTCTCTCCCCGCATTACTCCCACCGCCTCCGGCCACAGCCTCCGCCTCACTCACTTCAGTGGGAGCGGAGCCGGGAGAGAACAGGTCGGCTGATACCAAGGGGGAGAGACGGCTCTTCAGCTCCTGCAGATGGTGAACCCTTTGGGCGTCAGTAATGGAACTAACAAGAAAGAGGTATCAGCTAGATTCCTCCAGTGCACATTGTAATCCCCAGTTTCTGAGAAGAGCATGGCTTCAAACAGACATCTATTACACTGGGCAAGGCTCAGATTATATAGATGCCGTCCAGTTTAGTATCAGAACCTGCAGCCCGTGGGTTCTGCTCCTCTGATTCATTCCCTGCCTGCTGAGGGCTGAGCATCTTCAGAGCCCGGTTTCACTCCTGCCGCGGGCAGGCACGAGCGCTTACCTCCGCGATGATGTCTCCGTTTTCCGCGTGGACCTGAGCGATCGCGCCAGTCTCCTTGCACTGCTCAAAGGCAGCGTACAGCTCTGGGTCCCGCAGCATGAACAGGTCCTTATAGGCCATAAACATCTTGAAGGAGTTAACACCTTTCTCCTGGGCAAGGATGGCCATTTCTTCCTTGACCTAAGAGGCACCGACAACCACAACACATTGTTCTTTTGCTTCAGTGGTAATTTCAACATTCTCCAGAAAGGTACATTCATAAAACAAACAAAATAAGGACAACAGTGTAGTTCCAAAAATCGCAGTGAAGTCCTTGGCCTTCCTCCCACGCCCTCTCCTACTTCATCTGACGAGTTGCTGCTGCTGTCATAGAATAATTCAGGAAAAAGTTAACCACTTCCTCAAAGCACTTCTGTTCCAGGACATAAAATTCATTGCCTCTGTCTCCAAGTAGAAAGCAAAACTAACACAACGTGGCCGTGGAAGAAGCCATCATGGACTTAGAAGGAGTCCAGGCTATGGAGGAAGGAAGGGCTCAGGTCAGGTCTCAGAGCCGCAGGGTAAGTTCTTAGCCGGAGAAAGCAGAAGGTGTAGATGAACTGGGCCAAGGAAGCAGGACCTCAGCTCGGAGGCTGGGGCCAGGGGACAGGCAGCTTCAGGGTGCTAGACCACTCAGGAGCTCAGGCCTTTGGGGTTGCCCAGGGCAACGGGTGAGTGGGGCTCAGAAGGAACTAGGTAACTGCCTTTGCAGGCCTGGTCCAAGTCTCAAGATGGGTTGAAAACTCAAAGGAAAAATCAGTAGATTTGAGCATATAAAGTTGATTAACACACAAATAGATTAACACACAAATAAAAAATATAGCAAGCATAGGAATATTGGTCTTCATTGGCAAACCCTCTTTCAACTTTAAGAAAAACCTTAACAGCCCACATCAAATCGTTAACCCATAGTTCATGGAGTAGATAGAAATGATTGACCAACGTGCAAAACCTTTAGCTTTGCTGCTCGTTAAAAAGTACCAAATAAAACAGTGTGGGGTTTTCTGCTGAAAAAGCAAAGTTTGACAATGAGGAGACGACAGTCAGCCCCTCACTCCCGCCGCTGGTCATCACCTCTCTAACCTTCCTTCTCTTTCTCACGGTGCTGTGTGCACTGCTGGTCCCCTATCTGCCACTGGGGTTCAGTCCACGAGAGAGGGGGCCGTGTGGTGTGCACCCTCTGCCACACCACCCATTGTTGAATTAATTAATAAATTAACACAGAAAATTAAATGGAAAGAAATGCTAGGATACTGAGGGTGGACGGGAGATGGGAGGGTCCGTGATTTGTCACAAGACCAGCAAGGGGCAGAATGTGCTGGACTGTGCCTTATTTTTTTTTGCTACAGTTTCAAATTTCCCACAATGAATACATTATTTTTATAATAAAGAGGGACTTTGCACACTGTTAGCGGAGTCACGTGCTGGTTGCCAAAGGGGGTCTGGGGGATGCTACCCTTGCTGAGTACAGCGCCCTTTCTGAGGGGCCCTTGGTCAACACCCTGTCACCTACACCATCATGGAGTCCCACTGTGCCGCTTGGGCATGGGGCCCTAAGCCCTCTCCTGCCCCAGGGTGGCCCCCGAGCCTCCCCAGGCTTTCAAGGACGAACAGCGGATGTGGGTTGACATGTGTGCACTGAGCATTCATACGCAGAAGTCCCAACCCTCAGCTGGAAACAGAGCCACCACGGTTGCAGTTAAGACGAAGTCGTTAGTGCGGACCTAATCCCACAGGACCAGTGACTGAAATAGAGGACACTGTGACACAGATTTCCACGCGGGGACAGTGGGGAAGTGGGGAAGGCAGGGACCGGATGAAGGTTCAAGACGAGCAACCCCGTGACTGCAGGGAAGCACAGGAGGAGAGGAGAGGCTGGCACAGTTTCCGCGGGGACAGCCCTGCCCACAGCTTGACCCGGGCTTGGAGCCTTTGGAGCATGAGGCGATGCAGCTCAGTGGGTCGCAGCCCTGTGGCGTGCTGGGTTACAGCACTGGGCAGAATCTGTATCTGGCAACGTTCACCAGGCGGTGCTCTGGGATATTAAGGAATGCGAAGCACTCCATCGCCTTTGCTCCATCTTGTACAAGAACAGAGGGGAGCAGGAAGGAAAAGAGAAGGAAGGAAAGAAGGAAGGAAGGGGGGAAGGGAGAGAGGGAGGGAGGGAAGAAAGGAGAAAGGGAGGCGGGGAAGACGGGAAGAACTGGCCTTGAGGGCATAAAAGAGAGTAGGGCATCACTTTGTTTGTTTTGTTTTGTTTTGTTTTGTTTTGGGAAAAATCAACTTTAGCTGTGGACTCTAAACCTTGCAATCACGTTGGCTGAACTATTGGTTAAAGACCGATTATGTGTTTTACATTAACCCGGAGTCTAAAGCCCAGTCTTGGAGGGAAGGTGGGAACATAAGTTACTCAAATAATGCCCATCACGGTGAACCCTTGCAGGATTTCTCAGTGAAGTCCAGTGCGGAAAAACAAGTTGTGACTTGAATCCCAAGAAGAGTGTCCCCCTCAAAAACACATACTTTTACCCTTGGGAGAAACAACTATTTCAGCAGCTCTCAAAACTGTCTCTTCTGTCTGAATCCCATTCTGTTCCTGCCAGACCCAGGTAACGAGGGGCATGGGGGGTGACTCTGGTGTGAGTGGTTACCAGGTGGCCACACAGCACGCAGCGGACTCTCCCCCCAGTTCCGGGTCACCTGGAAGCCACCTCTGCCCGGCTCCTGCCCTTTGGCCTTTGTTACCAGTTTTGTGTTCTTGGCCGGGGGGAGGTCAAGGGTCGAGGGACACAGGACACAGGGCCCCCAGGAGCCCCACCTGCTCGCTCCACCACGTCACGGCCACGTGCAGGCTGTAGTCGCAGCAGACTTTGGGGTCAGCCCAGCGTCGCCAGGTGTCGAAGGCGTCCAGGAGGGAGCCGCCCTTCTGGGGGATGGCAAAGTCGATGATCGTGGTGGTGCCTCCCGCCAGAGCAGCCTGCGCCGGAGAAGGTTCCACAGGTGAGGCACCGGCTCCTGGCCAGGAGTTGTCACCTCATTTGCAACAGCTTGGGTCCACCCCAGAGGCCCGGGAAGGTGTACACAGCTGCTGTCTGCTCGAAAGACCCCCAGGGAAGGAACAGACTTTTCGAAAGGGCTGAAGTGTTAAAAACGTAAGCATTGCTTCTGCACGAAGCATGAGAAATCTGGTAAGATGAAGGTGGTTGGACCCCTAGAGGACAGCGAGGGCTGTAAAAAAAGCCACCCAAAGTGCAAACATGGGGAAAAATTAAGAGCGCTTTTTTCTATTTACAAACCAGGTTCCCTATAAAATTCTATGGTTGCTTTTTGGTGAGTTGCACTTCCACCTGCCCCGAGATCCACCCAGAATCCAGGGAAGTTCCTCCCTCTCCAGCCCCCCGGCCCCAAGTGACTTCTTTGTGGTTCTTTGATTTATGCCTGTCCCCTCTACCCATCCCAAGTCTGGTCTCCCTTCAGATCCTTGGACGGTTTTATGAGTTACCTCTATCTCTCCAGTTCTGCACACATCCATCCTGACCCCATGCAAACCCTATCACACAGGGACATTTCCGAAGCGGGGACTGACCACCAGCCCCCAAGGATAGGGGGGAGGACACGTGGGGAGAGACTGACTAAGGGGACAAAGTCACACTTCAACCAGAGGAAAAGTTCTGATGTTTTATTGCTCAATAGAGGCACAGTTAATGATGAAGCACTCTACATTTTGAAATAGCCAGAGAAGATGATGAATTCCCTCTCTACAAAGCAATGATCCGTGCTTGAGAGGGCAGATATTTCACTCTTCTGGCTTGATCATTACATAGTGCATGCACGGCACCCCATCAATAGGGGTATCTTGGGTCGATAGAAAATCAAGCGAGAATTTTAAAGACAACGTCCCTCTCTGCCTCGGGAGTAAAGTTAAATTTTCTTAACATGGTCTCTAAGTCCCTGCATCCTCTCTCAAATCTCTATACACCTGGCATAGGAGATGACAATACAACTAATTTAAAAACGAAGTCAGACACCTCTGACAGTTGATTTCATTTAAACTAAAATCGCCAGGCTGTTTGTGCACTGTGAGTTCTTGCGGGGAGGAGCGTGTGGGTGGACAGCTGGAGACCCGCAGCCTGGTGCCACAGCGGGTCCTGAGTGATGTCCCAACCTCCCTGTGCCTCTGGCTCCCACCAGTCAGGACAGTGGTGGCACTGACCCCTGATGGCAGCGCGGACACATCTGCTGCACGGCCGGGGCTGTGCGCACTTCTGCTCAGTATGCCCCATCTAGCAGAGCCAGGACCGTCCCCCACTTCCTGCATGGTGTCCTCTCATCTCCAGACACACGGTCACTGCACAATACATAAGGGACAGCGCCACCAGCCTCCCTTGCCAATGCACCCCGTTCCCTGCCCACACGGCCCCCAAGATGCACCCCACACCCCTCCATGCTGCTCTGCCAGTGCTGCTCTACCACCTCTTTGTTGCTTTCTTCCACAGATTTTTAAATTTTCCTTAAGTTTCCTTGAGTTGGCCCTGCTCCCATTATTTGTGGTTTTGGAAACCTCACCTTGTGTACAAGATTCTATGCTTTGTATCTACCTTTAACCAACAGTGCCTTATGCAGAACAATACATACTTCATTTCCTAAGAAATCCCTCTTGGTATAAGAGCCTTACTAGAAAAAAAGTTCCCAGGTTCTACATTTTTATTTGAAAACAAATCAGTCTTCTCACTTTCTCCTTTGAATGTCTTACAAATCCATCAGGGCGTCTTTTCTAGTAGAACTCACAGTTTGCTCAAGTATTAGAAGGAAGTATTTTTCTAGGATTACCAAACCAGAAAATCAACCTTTAAAAACTATTCTTTCTGTTCTTTCCCCATGAAAAGCCTACTGCTTGTGGGACGTGGAGAAGCTAGACAGTCATCACTGTGGGAAACCCGTTCCCCCAAGTCCATGGGTGCCTGGTCCCTGCTACAAAACGGCTCAGTATCTCCGCGTTCCCACACATTCCCGTCCACACTTGAAGCCCTCCCGAGGTTATCTGTACTATGTCACACAGCGTAAACTCAGAGGAAATAATTGTAATACTGAATTGTTTAGGGAATAAGGTCAAGAAAAAAACCAGTACATGTTTAGTCCCAGTGCAAATTTTAAAAATATTTTCACCCCACGATTGTTTAAATCCAGGGAATCAAAACCCAGATGTGCAGAGGAGCAGCTGCTGAGCATGCAGTCTGACACAGCACGTGGGGGAGAGGTTCCTAGAGACACACAGAGTCGCCCAAGCCCCCGTGTGTTCCCCAGAGAAGGGAGGAGTCGTTCACACTAGAACCTGCACACAGATATGCAAGACAGCTTTGGCTACCCAGAGCCAAAAGGTAGCCACAGCAGCCTAAATGTCCACCAGCTTATGAGCAGAGAGACAAGACGTGGTACATGGTCCACTGCGATAGGATCTCCACAGAAAGGAGTAAAGTGCTGCTCCATGCAGAATGTGGCGCACCTGGACAACACAAGCTGTTGCGGGAGGGCCTGCGCTGTGTGACCCCAGTGTGCAGTGTGTGTCCACAGGGGCAAGGCCACAGGGATGGCGGAAGGTCAGCGGTCCCCTGGGACTGGTCACCTGGGGGAGGTGGGGAGGGTTATAGGGGGGTCGTGAAAAGGTTCACTGTTTTTCTTGGGGGAAGGGGTGATCAAAACGTTTAAAAATTTACTTTGGTGATGGTTGCATAACTCTGAATATAAGAAAACCCACTGAAGTATACTGTTTAAGTGGCTGAATTCCATTGCATGTGAATTACATCTTGATAAAACTACTGTTTAACGCATCTGCTACGTGCAGGCATCACGTGGGCGGAAGGAAGCAGGGAGGTCACATGCACTCCGAGGTTCTGCCCTGGAGGTGTGCGCCACACCGGAAGACGGCTGTGAGTTAGGGGTGGTAACACAACAACCAGACCAGGGGACAAATCTACTTCTCCAATAAACAGCGACATAGGAACTGTGCAAGGGGAAGTTAAAAATCACCAAGCTCCCTAGAAGGGGTCCTGAGGAAGGATGCCCAGGAATCAGAGGAGGGACGGACTCAGAGGGGAGCAGGACACACACGGAGGTCGCCAGCGTGCTTCGGAACCTCTGCGCCCAGAGCACGCATGGTGGGTCAGGGACCACCCGGCTGGAGCTTCGTGCCATCGCCGGGTCTGCAGCCTGGGAGGGAACTGGAATGGGGTGCAGAGCAAAGAACCAACTGGTAACCTGGGCAGCTGATGGCTTGGGGAAGAGTGGGACAGGGACCAGCGTCTGCCACTCAGAGCGCACAGCAGGGGCGGGATGGGGACCCTGGCCATGGCTGAGCCCCCAGGGGAAGACGTCAGAGGTTGTGTGCAGGGTGAGGCAGGTCAGGGAGACAGAGGAGGGGCCGTGGCCAAGTCTGAGGGGCATCTGGAGTGTGAGGGGCTCCGCACCTGCCCCTCAGTGAGACAGACGGTGCCAAAGCGGGAGAGGGAAATACAGCCGTGCAGTAAGTAGTAAGTGTGTTGCGGGGGGCGAGGCAAGACGAGCTCACATGGGCCCCGTGACAGCCCCGGGACACGGAGCCAGCTGCAGGTTTCCAGATGTGTGCGGGACACAGAAATCGAGTGGGCGGAGCTTATTTCGATGGTCTCACAAGACCGGAGGTTCCGGGCAAAGGGCTGCTCCTGTTAACCTGAAGCAGATGGGGGTGCCTGCGCTGCCCGGCAACAGCTCTGGGACAAGATCGATCACGACGGCCACCGTTTCTGTCCTTGTTTGTCCTTCTGCTTCTCCGCTCCTCTCTGCTCCCTCTCCCGAAGGCTGGGAGTGAATTTTTCGACACCTGTTACCCAGGACAGCTGGAGCTGCGGTTCTTTCTCATGCTTTCCCTGTAACTGGCTTTCTCTCTGCTTTTATTTGTCATTTACCCAAACAAAACGCCTTTTCCCTTTCTCATCTTGGCTCATAAATCAATTCTGTCAACTCCTAACTCTGTGGAGTGTTCTCCTCTAAAAACTTTCCAGTTTATCCAAAGCCCTCTTTCAGGGGGCGCAGGAGCCCACATTATCCCTAGTGCAGACGCCACACAACCCGACACAAGGTGTGCCCTGATGACAGCAGGCCTTGTGTCATAGAACGTACCAGTTTGTAAGTCATTACTGAAAATACCCCCCAAGCATTTTCCCAAAGTTTCACGTCTAAGCTCATCCTGAGATGAATGACTTTGTTTCGCTAAAATCCATCACAGCATCTGCTCCACCCAAGTAAAACTGAAAGAAACCAAAGAGTACAGCTCAGCCTTAGTGAGAAAAACTCCTGGCTGGACTTCCAGCATTCTCACAGCCATGAAGGTTTGTAACAACAAACTTCATAATCTCAATTTACATCCCAAACCTGGAAGCTTTGAGCTTTGTAAAGATGCCACCCTGCACACCCCTGTCCGTACTCGACCTCCTGCCTCACCAGCTCTGAGATGGCTGATGAGGTGGCTGATTATCCATCTGACTGTGCAAAGTAGGCCCTTAGGAACCCCTCTGCCCCCCCTTGAACCCTAAAATCCAATTCAACAACAACGCCCACTCAGGCTGCCTGCCATATTCCACAGTCACTTCCTGTGACTTCCCTTGCCTGGACCAGCGCCCCAGAGGGATGAACCCCCAGGTTAAGTGAAGTGGTTTCTGCTCTGCATGCCCTTAACCCATCAGAGAGCCTGGCATAGAAACATTCCCCAAATGCTTAAAGGAGAAAAGAAGGAAGGGCCAATTTTCTCCAAAAGTTATTAGACAGATAAGGACGGTTCGCTTCTCCCCTTGCAACCTGGGAGAGCTGTGTGCATTGCAGGTCAGTGAGCATCATTTCCCTGAAGATGCACTGGCCCTGGCCGTGTGGGCTCCTAGATCCTCTGGTGACAATGCTGATGCTGACGTGGACTCTGAATACATCTGAAGGCTGAGTTGTCAGTGT